CCGGCGTGCTCCGTCCCGGCTTTGTAGGGATGCGAGGTCAATGGTCTAACGACTACGGCATGCACGACTATGAGTACCCCCCCCCCCCCTCCTGTGTCTAACACAACGATTCCATCTCTCTTCACAGATAGGAGTCCAGGAGAAAATAGCGATGAATCACAGCGTTATTAGCGGAAGAGCAAGCTGTGTCTACGTTTATTTTGAATCATCCCCATCTCGGACACAGCACGGCCACTACAATGTGGACCTCTCTCACTGCTGCAACTCTGCCATGCGGACCTCGCAGCACAAGAGGACCAAAGCGCACAGCGACCCGTTTTGAAATTTCCATGCGGAAACTTCCCGATGTCGTACTGAGTTCCCTCCCCGCCCCCGCACACCCTGCTTTGGCCTTCCCAGGTACGCCGGAAAGGAGGAGGAAGTGGCGGGGAGGGTCCTTGTTGCGGACAAGGGGAAGCGAAAGAAGGGTGGGAGATGAGAGGCGGCGGCTCAAGGGAAAGGGTACTGTGCGCAAGAGTGTCGTTCGCCCGCTGGCACTCGGACCGACGACGTGTTCGACGGTCCGAGAAGAGGTTCTGACTGCTGTTCCTGCGAAACGTGCTGGCCGCACGGTCGCCCTGCAGCGATACCTCGAATCGTTTTTCAGGGAAGAGTGTCGGTTGCCTGCCGTGATCACGACCGGTTAGCGGCAGATAATGAAGTGGGGATGATGTAGACAATACGGCGTGCGTTGGTTGCGATTGTCCACATGGTGTGCTCTGTCTTTTTTTGGCGTGTTTCGGGCGAAACCTGATGCTGAAGTCGTTGTATTGATTGTCACCGTGGTGTGTACAACGGAATGTTGACGGGCGTGGTTGTATTTTTTATTATTTCTTGCGTGCCTTTTGAGCCGCGGCTCAAGACTCACAAAGAACACACGCAACATCCACCAACTACTGCTGTTAGCCGGATAAAAATACCTAGCAGTATGCCGGATTTGAACGGGTGTGCTTGGGTAGTGTAGAAACGATTGAAAATAGATTTTTGGGCGCTTCGCCATTGATGGTGGCTGAGGGGTCGGGGGCGTTGTTGTGTTGAACTTGCGCTGTCATTGGACAACCCCACTGCCGCTTGGCTGGGTTATTTACCCGTGCCTTATAAATGAGCGTCCGCCGGGGATCCGAATTATTATTGTTCTTGTGACCCAAGTTCGAGTTCCCTTTTCCTTTCGTCGCTCCTCGTGTGTTGGCCACGCGGCCAATGGTCCATCCTGCAGATACACATGCAGATACACAGCATTAGTATGCCAGCATGAGGTAGATATATGACGCAGACGCAAGTCAAAATTCTTGGCTTCGACCTTTTGATGATAATAAGCGTGTTTGTATGACAAGAACAAACGTATCGAGCTAGTGCTGGATAGTTTCACCCGCCCTACGCCTGCGCAAAACATCAAGCGCTTCGAGTGGCAGGCCGTGACCTGCGCCGAAAGGATGCGACATCCACAACGAACGAACGAACGAACGCCGAAATTGACGCAGAGGATGCAATGAAGAACCTCAACTGAGGAAAGTTTGGGAAGCAGAGCGACATACAATTAGTAGTTTAAGGCTATTGGTCACCTGCCAAGAATGCACCACGTACGTGTCAGTGTTTTGGTGAGGAGTCCTGCTCCATTCTTTCGTTTGAAGTAGGCCAGGTTTACAAACAAGGTGTTGTTGCAAGTTGTTGTTGCTTGCCCTCTTTAACCGAAACCTCTTAAAGTGTGTTTGCGGGTGCCATTTTTCACTGCCCTCTGTTTGCCGACCGGTCGTCTAGACCGTATTTCAAGCATTTCCACCACCACTGACGCTGTTGCTGATACTCTCTTCGAGTACAATTTATCATGAGTCTTATCTCCGAAAGGGAGGGATAAGCTAAACTATGCTTCGAGGTACACTTCAAACTTCTTCGTACTTGCACTTTGTTTAGCTCTTCATGAGTGTAATGCAGTATGTAGTGCTTTGATGTTAACCCGCCCACCTCATAGTGCAGAATCCTGACCAGCAGCAATTAAATGTAAACCTTTTCACCATGGCTGATCTCCTCCGATTCATGGCGCCCAACAACGCCGCTAGCTATTTTTTTTTCTCCATCAATGGACTTTGTTGTCTGCCCCTCTGGCCCCCTTCCTCCACCTACTTCTACTACTGACGACCCAACCAGGGAAACTGCTGTGTTGGGTACCTTGACCTCGCTTTTGCTGTTGCTTTTGTTTTTGTACATCTGGCTGTCTGCCTACTGCCGCCTCTTTGTCCTGTTTGCTCCGTTACTCCCATGCCCTGGTGCGTAGAGCCTGTTGGTGCTGGTACGATACCGTTTGATTTTTTCTTCAAGCGGGTGCGGGAAGCGTCCTCCTTTTTTTTTGTTTTTGTTTTTTTATTTTGATCGGTTTCCGAGGGTGTTTGGGTGCGGTAGCACGTCAGAGGCCGAAAGAGAAAGAAGGTTGACCCAAGACCTTGTTGCTTAGAGAGTGAGAGACATGCGGTAGGTCACACCATCGCCATGCAGCATGTCCGTCACTACATTCCATCCGCGTACCCCCCGGAGGCCCCGTAGACAGTATACTCTGCCGAGCACCCCAAACAGCCCCCCTGCTCGGTACGAGATACGATCTACGAAATCCCCGACACGACTATCATTGCCAGACAAAACGACAGACAGAAAAACCAAAACCCCTATGCTAACGATAAATCATCCACCATTTCAATCCAAACAAACGACTCTGTCTGCCAATAGAACATGTCCCACGAAATCGCCGGATCTTCCAACAGAACACGTCCTGCAAAGCTTTCAACCCTTTTTGATGTCAAATTTCTACCCCTACAAGATCTGTCAAGAAAAACAAATCACCCTCTCGAGAAAAGTGCTCTACCCAATTCTCAAGCAGTCAAAACACGAACAATCACCCTTGGAAAA